AAAGGATTCTCTCTCCCGAGACCAGAGTTGTGGATATTTTTTAGGAATTCAGCAGACTAGACAGACAGTCTTCTCTTGGTGAAAATAAACTAAAATATTATCAGGATTCTCTCCTGGCCACTTTAAATATAGATGGGATATATATATATATATATATATATATAAATATAAATATATTCCTTCTGGTACAGGAGATTTTTCACTCAAGTGATTTCTTTTCTCTTAATATCTTCTAGTTGCCTCCTCCTTTTTTTTCCCCACCCCAAATCTGTTTAGGTGTGAAGACAGTTTGTTACTGGGCTGCATGTTCCCAGGAGCACTGCAAAAATATGGATAAAATCCACTTTATTTAAAGACTTTGGCACTGCTGGGATCTGCTGCTCTAGGGGAGTGTAAATGCAATGTCCATGTGCTCTAGGGGAGCTCTAGGGCTGGGGACAGAAGGGAAGGAGGCACCAAAAAGCAAATATTCTGAAGGAAGGGCTGGTTCTCTAGTGATCCTAGTGATCCTTTCCACCTCCTCATTCTTGGTTAGGAAACAAGAACTGTTCAGTGATGGTATCAGGAGTAATGGCTTCAAATTCCAGAAGAGAGGAGCAGAGAAGGTTTGTAGAATCCTTTTAGTGAAATTGTTTACATTCTGCAGAAAATACCATAGGAAAAAATACCATTTTTTATTTTTATTTTAAACAGAATCTGTATCAGAAATTAAATGTTTTTTAAAAAATACGGAGCTTTGTTCCAGTGTGGCAGTGCTTTGGCTTTTTAGGCATTTATCTACATCTGCTGTGGGCTGATGTTGTTTCCTCCCACACAGGGAAGGGAACTTGGTGGTTTTGTCTGAATAACAGCATGGCACATAACCTTACTTTTAGCCAAAAAATTAACTTCTGTCTGAAATGTCACCTTCTTTTCCACTGTGTGGTGCATAAATCATCTCATCCCCTCTTTTTATGAGAAAGTAATTTTCAGTTTAATTTTCTCTCCTGTGGAACAGGAGTAATGGTTTTCACAAACCCCTGCGGGCCTCCTGGGGTCGGCTGTGCTGCTGCCACCCTTCTCTCTGCTGGGAAGCTTTCCCAGTCATCCTGGAAACATTTCTTCTTTTCCTGAGCTCTGCTGTGGCACCCCTTGCCCTGGCCCTGCAGCGTTTCAGGCCACACTGCTTTGGTGCCCTGCAGGAGATGTGCTGGCCACCTTTGTGGGGGTGGAGGAGAATAAAATTACCTTTCCTCTGCTCTCCTCTGCCGCAGGCTCCTTGTTCACGTTCCTGTGACACGTCCTGGTTTGCATATTGATGGTTCAGGCTGCTCCTGTCCACTGCAGCCTGCTGGAGCCAGTGATGGACCTGGGACCTTTTATGATGAGAGCGTTCCAGGGCTGCTCTGGGGAGGGGCAGGAGGAGCCTGGGGTGGGGGGCACAGCACAGGGACCACAGCTGGTGAGGGCAGCACGGGATCCTCCACCTGAGAGCACTGCCCGTGTCCAGAGCTGCTCCTGGGTTCTCAAGTCTCTCCTCAAAGCAGGGTGTGACAGCCCTCTGAGGAGCGCTCACTGAGGAAGAGTATGTCACAGCAGAGGTGCCAGCCCTGGCCGAGGGCCGAGGGCCCTGCCCCTCTCAGAGCCAGAGCCAGCAGAGGAGATGTCTTTATCAAACACTTTGCCTGTGTCAGGGTGTGTCAGAAGCAGCAGGTGCAGGGTGGCCCTGTGGAGGTCGGAAATAATCCCCTAGAGACAGGACAGGGTTCCCCATGGCTCTTCATTTGTAAGAGCTGCTTGATCTCTTGTTGGGGAATAGAAGGCAGATGAAGAAATACAGAACAAAGCTGTCTGTGCCATCCTGGCTGGCAGAAGGAAGGACCTGACTACTCCATTCCAGTGAATTTTGGGGTCATCGGTTGGGCTGAGATGCTGTGAAGGTGTGTCTGCAGGGCACAGAGCCCAGCAGGGCCCTGCTCACCAGGAGTTCCTCTGCTTTAACCCTCAACATAAACAGCAACACCCAGGGGAGGGATTTGGCTTTGAACCAGCACCAAGAACTGTTTTACTTCCACTGAGCCTGCATTGCTGCTGTGACCCTTTGGGGTGTCCATCCCCACTTTGTGACCTTGTCCCCTCCCACACTGCCCCTGCCAGTGCACCTGGGCAGCAGAGGTGGCTGCAGAGGTGGCAGAGACAGGCTGCCAAAGCTGCTGCTTTGTGCTGACCACAGCCTGGATGTGCTCCTCCAGGAGGGCTGGGCACTGCCCCGTTTCCAGGAGCAGGGCCTGGGTGCCCAGTAGGAATATCCTCCTTGGAGCAAGCAGCTCTGACTTCAACAGAAAAGCCACAACTTTTTTTATGTGACTGAACTCCACAGGTGAATATTACTTGTCCAAATTTCTCCATTTATGTTCTTTAGCTGTATTTTCTGATCGGTAACTTTTTGCCTTATTTCTCTTTTGAAAAACCTCAGTTGCTGAATTCATCTTAGGAAGAGTGCAGACTGGGAAACATCCATGGGACTGGCACGTGGGAGGACTGACACAGTTAGTGATGAGTAAAGCAATTGAGCCAAGTTCCTGACCTGGTGCTGACAGCCTGAGTCTGATCATAGGTCATAGTCACAGGTCATGCAATGCTTTCACATTTTAAATACATCTTTAGTGGCAGTGATGAGGGTCTTACTGATTTTTGTGGTGCGTTGTTATCTTCTCTCTTGGAGGTGTTTAGCATTTTTAAGGGGAACTAGTTCAAATAATTTCTGTCAAAATCACATATGGTAGCTGGTAGCAAGGTGTGGGATTTTGCTACAAGAAATGCTTCATTCAAATACCTGCTTTGAAGGAGAACCTAAAAGAAATACTTCTGTGCCTTTGGGGCTGCTGTAGCTGTGGCAGTGGGAGCTGTAGCTCATCAGTGTGCTCTACCTCTCTCCCTCCCCAGCTCTTCCACTGCCTTGTTTTACTCTGTCCTAATCACTTTTCTCCTAATCTCCAGCACAGCTGGAAAGCTTTAGGGGTTTGCCTTTTTGTGAGAGTGTTTGGGTGCTCCCAAGGTCTGGCACTGTGCCCTCAGTGCCCCCTGTCCCTGTGGCAGCAGCAGTGCTGCAGAGCCAGCACAGGGAGTGAGCAATGCATCAGGCAGCAAGGCAGTGATGCAGTGATGCAGTAATGCAGCCTGAGCAGAGCCCCAGCCCCAGGCAGTGATGCAGTGATGCAGTGATGCAGTAATGCACCCTGAGCAGAGCCCCAGCCCCAGGCAGTGATGCAGTGATGCAGTGATGCACCCTGAGCAGAGCCCCATTAGCTCCTCAGACACAGGACTGGGGTAGAACTCTCTGCCCAAGCCAGGCTCTGGGCCAGGCTTTGGAGGCGATGCCCTGCCCGTTCCTGCTCACACAGTTAAGGGAACTGGGATTCAATAGTCACAGCTGCATAAAGCAGCTTCTGATCCCACCCAGGTCAGCATGAAGTGAGACTGCATTCAGGGCTAGTTTAGAAATTGTGCTCTTTTTGCCATGATGTGAAGAAATGAGAAGTTGAACACAATGTGTTCCATTTTGGCTTGCTTTAATTCCATCCAGGAGAGAAAGAACGCAGTGCATCCACTGAAATACAAACCTTAAAGATGATCAGATCAGCCTCTTCAAGAGGCATTGGGTAAAGCTCTGAATTTAGTCAGCACAGTGGAAATCTCTGAGGATCTTGGGAAAAGTCTCAATCTGGCGCTGTTGTCATAACTGGTCTTCATAAAAATGTATCCTTAGTTTCAGCTCTTTTCCCACTTCAGCTGGGAAGCCTGCTGGGGTGTGGGTGCATTTTGGGATTCTCTAATCAGAAATGTTCCCTGTTTTCCTAGTTCCACCCTCCAGCAGAAATGGCTTGTGGCACCTCAGTGCTGTGCCAGTCTGCCTCTCCTTGAGGATTATCCCACAGAAAGAAATTCTGCTCTTTCCTTTCCCCTCCACACAAACACTGAAGCTGGTTCAGCATTCAGTGCTTCAGGAGTAAAAGCCTTCTCAGTGTCCCCTGGATTGTGCACTGCTAAGAAATTCCACATTCCCCTGCAGCTTTACAGGAAATTGGGTATTTTTGTGTCTCTCTCGATGCCACTGGCCCAAGGAGCTCACCTTAACAATGCAATCTTCACTACCTTTCCATGCAGTAGCTGGTTTTATAACAAATTTACAGGAATTGCATCAATTCCCTTTCCAGTCTTCCCTCTTTGCATTTCTGCTGTAAGGAATCCTGTGAGACAAACACGGAGCCCAAGGAAGGACAGCTCACAAAGCCCCCAGTGCCCCCGCAGTGTCACAGCCAGTAAGGCTTTGCTCTTCTCTGGGGGTTTCACTCACGGATCCTGGCAGGACTGGCTGATATTAAACAGCCCAGTTTTGTACCTCTCTCACAACAAGCTCGATTATCTGTAATTCCTGGTTTAGCAGAGGACAAAAGGAGCTTCCCACTGACATTCACAGCAAGGTAGCAGTATAGCCAAAAATTAATTCCGAGTTTTGCAGTCCTCTGCTCCCTGCTGCCCTTGTTCACGGACCCCATCCCGAGCTTTGGCCTTTCTTCCATGCCTGTCTTTTTAATAAACAGAAAATACTTTTGATGCAGTGGTTTCCCCCTTCAAGGAGAGATTCCCTTTAGGTTTGTTCACGTGTTGCTTTACCCAGGAGGAAATGCAATGTGCTCATTGAATGGGGGGTCTGGGGGTCAGTTTAGGCTGGACTTGCAGCCTCTGTTTGGCCTTTGATCTGGTTGTGTTTCTCCCCCTGTGAAATGGAGCAGTGCCCAGTGATCCAGTCACAAAGTGTTACTGAGCCCCTTGAATTGGTGGGAAATAACCTGAAATCATAAGACAAGTGCAAATGATTAATTCATTATTAAATCCATCATCCCACCAAATCCTCTCTTTGAAGGAGCCTTAATCCAAGGTATTATTAATATAAAAGCAATTATGTTCCTGGCTTATCAGTCATGTGAATGAACATTTCATTCCTTTCTTTGCTGCAGTGCGGAGGGTCCTTCCTCTGAAATCATGCAGATTGATTTTGAGATTGAAGAGCTGACTGACCTGCCTGAGACCCAGCTCATCACCTGGCAGGTGGAATATCCTGGAGACACCACATCCGACCTGGGAATCTCCAAGATCTACGTAAGCCAGAAGGACCTGGTAGGAGTTGTCCCTTTGGCTATGGTAAGGAATTGTTTGGCGTTCTGCTCCAGTGTCTGACCGTGCCCACGAGCAGCAGAGGGGAGGGAGGGACAGAAGGAAACACTTGAGAGTCAGATCCTGGCTGGGAGGGGAGAGCACAGCTCCCCTTGGCAGGCAGCTCCTGCTCTGTGGCTGGTGCAGTGATGTTTTGGGGGCAGAAGCTGGCTGATGGCATTTCCCCTGCTCAGCGCTGCTGTGGGTGCAGCACGAGGTGTGCTCGGGCACTCCTTCCATCTGACCTGAGTCAGGAGTGCTCTTGCCTTGGCTGGGCTTCCTGAGTGACAGGATTTCCACATCCTGAATTCTGACTCCACGTCCATTTCAGAGTGAGGAAAGAATTGAAAGCAATGGCATGAGCGCTGATTAATTTGAATTAGCTGGGGAGCACAAAATGCAGTGTGGAGCCAGCTGTCTGTTCTTCAGAAATGCATTCAAACAGGTACCCCATGGTGACAGTGAAAACCACAGGACCTGAAAATGGCCCGATCCTTTAGCCTTGTTTTTACCTAAATAATGCCTGTTGGATACCCAAATTTCAAGTACATTCAGAAATTTGTGCATTTCCTCTTCTGTCCCTTTCACATTTCTTTGTTGTTGGGATTGAAGCACATTTGTGTAAGGTCTGGCTGTGCCTCATTTCTGTTCTCAGGCAATCTGTTAGAAAATATTGACACATTATTATTTAGTGCTGAAAGAAAAACAAAAATCAATCTCAAAGCATTTAAAAAAATGTAACCTGGATGTTTGCCTGGTGATAGCAAGTTAATTATGCCATTACTGAAGACTGAAGGTGTTCTGTGCACTTTGACTCCCAGAACTGGCTGCTCTTGTTATTTGTATTTCCCAACTTCTACTACTCAGATGCTGGGATTCTTTCTTTTACCAAAGCCACGTTTTCTCCCTGGTGGCTCGTGCCTTCATTGCCAGGGTGTGTCTCCCAAATGAGAGTTGTGTAACCCCTTTGCACGGCTGCTTCCTCCTGCTGAGCCCTGGGATGTCTCTGCTGCTGTGCTGGGAAGGGAGGGGGCTGTTCCAGATCCACAGAATATTCCGGGCTGGGGCATCGAGTCCAGCTCTGCTGTCAGCTGGGCCCTGGAGTGCAGGCACACGAGTTCTGGTTGAGGGTTAAGGCTGTGGAACAATCAGACTGAGGTAATGTGAGACGTTGGGGTTTCTGTTCTCTCCATACATAATTGAAAAGATAAAAGGTTTCCTCCCCAGTGGTTCCAGTGGTGGCAGGAAACCAGAGTTCTCCTCAGGTGTGCCCACGAGCCGTGATTGCTTTATTATCAAGTGATATAGTGGCAAAATATAGCTCCTGAGAACAAAAATAGATCCTGCTGGCAGCTGCTACAAATCAGCTCACTCTCTTAATTTCCATTAAAGATGAAGAGAAGCCCATTTTGCAGCAGCACAGAGCTGTGTGCTCAAAGGTCACCTGCAGCCTGTAACGTTCTCAGGAGATGGCATTTGCAAGGCAACAGGAGTGGGGATGATGGGCAAGGGAGAAGGCAGAGACAAATGGCAGCAGTCCCTGGGTCCCTGACAGACTGGGAATGGTGTGACCTTCTCTGCATGAGCTGCACTGCCAGGGAAGGAGCTCCAGGGTATTCCAAACCTCCAGGTCTTTGTCATGCTTCACTTTGTGCTGGGGAAATGATGATTCATGTGCAGCCCTTTTGGCATCCAACTTTGATTAGTTTGATACTTCAGTTTTCCCTGTGGTCCTTGCAAAGCTAGCTTGTCATTTGCAAATTAAATTAAAAAAAAAATCTCCTCTTCCATTTAGAAAGAAGCACAATGAAAACAAGTGTTATGTTATTTCTCTGGTTTTGGAGACAGGAATGATTTGGGTTGGTTTTTTACTGGTCTTTGTAGCAGACCATTTAATTTCATGTGTGCCATTGTTTCAACCTGCTCCTGATGTTCTTTTTAAAACTTTAATGAATATGTTGACAGGAAGTAAACTGTTCTACTTACCATCAGCATGAGAAGCTGTATAAGCAGACCAGGTAAATAAATAAAATCAGTCATGGCAGTAAAGAGGCTATTTATTAGAAAGGAAACTTTATTTGTACTACAATTATTTCTGATAATTACAGGGATCAGCTGTCATGGTGGTGGCTGCCTCTGATGGATTTTATAAATCCCCAGGGTATTAATGCCCTTATAAATGCATGTTCCTGACACATTCCAGTGGTAAATAGTGCTGTTCATGTTCTGGTGGAGACTGGGTGCAGCTCAGGCTTAGCTACCAGAATGCCCAGTGGGCTGCTGCAGTGGGATTCTGGGGGCTGCTGCAGCCTCCTCTCCCCATCCACCCTCTGACCTCTGGTGGAGACTGGGTGCAGCTCAGGCTTAGCTACCAGAATGCCCAGTGGGCTGCTGCAGTGGGATTCTGGAGCCTTCTCTCCCCATCCACCCTCTGAGGTGCCAACCAGGCTGCTTTGGGGTGAAATCTGAGCTTTTCTGAAAGGTGGCTCCCCTTGGGAGGCATGAACAGATTGATTTCAGGGGGATCTGCTTTGGCTGGGGCCAGCCTGAGTTCTGCCTGGCAGCTGAGCAGTGCAGGATCACGTCAGCCAAACCCTCTGTCCTACTCCAATTCAATGAGGAATATTCCTAAAGACTTCCACTGACAGCTTTATGAAAAAGAAAGAGATGTCTAGAGAGTAGATAAAAGCTTTTACCTTCCTAATTCATAGCTTTTAAATCGCAATTACAGTATTCGGCAAGTTTTCAAATATTTAATTAAAATGTTACCCAGTGCTGAAAAGGAGCCTTTTAAATCAAAATGATTAGTGAATCACAGATGAAATCTACTCCTAAGAAAGGGAGAAACTGTTGGATCATTGTGATATTGCCAGCAACCATTTTCTTTTCGGAAATACATCCTATTGCTTCCTGAAATTAGACAGGTCAAGGACTTCAAATTTCACACCATGAAACAGACTTGCCATTCTCCCAGTAAAGTCTCAGCACCCACCAGTCCTGGTTTTGAGTCACCTTTCTTGGAAATAGGCATCCCAGATGATGTCAGAATACCAGATGATGTCTCTTGCCGTTGCTGCCCAAGTGTTTATGTCCTGGAAATGTTTTGTTCTCTGTCTCAGAAGATGCATGCCAGGGTTTGGTTCTGTTTCCTGGGGGTTTTGTACAGTTGGTCAGGGCTTGTTCTCCACATTGGCACATACTTGTCCTGTGACTCAGTTACATCCAGATCGTTCTGCTGCTCTGTTGTTTCAGCCTGGAGACCTCTTCCCTGATGCTGAAATCCTGACTGTCAGTCCCCATGGCGAAGCTTCTCACTGTGACAGCATTTCATTCCTTTTCTGTTGTCTGAATCCTTGGGTTTACCTCTTGCTTCTATTTAATAGTTCAAACTTCTGTATTGACAATGCCTTCCCAGCTGATACTGTCTGTAAATTTGAGTAGTAGTCTATTCCAGGGTCATTACTGGCAGCAGTAAAAACACAGATTTCCCCTAGGCTATTCCTGGGCTATTGTATCAGTCTGATTCTGGAATATTTCTGTGGCAGTCCAGAGGAACAGATTGTCTCCCTGGCTGTGGCTCTCCCAGCTTTGCTGGATCCAGAAACCTCCCTTATGGATTGGTTCTCATGCTCAGGCAACTTGCACTGCAAGGACTTTGTATTGCAGAGCTTGTTAATCAATCTTTGTGTGGTGTGGGAGTCAGATCAGATTCTGTTTCACATCCTGGTAGCTGCAGTCAGCCCGTGCAGCTGATGGGAGACAGTGTTTCATTAACATGGGAGAATCTGTGCTGCTTCAGGAATTAATTGAATCGCAGGGATCTGAAACCACAAGACATTTTTCCTGTATGTAGATGTTAAATATTCAGGCTTTTTCAGAGCTTGTGGCGTTGGCACCTCTTTATGACCCAGTGATGGACCAGGCCCTGGGCAGTGCCCTGGGGTGTGGCAGTTCTGGACTCTGTGTTCAACAAGTGAGCATCCCTGCAGTGGGGCTGATTTCAGGGCTCATTCCCACGTGGAGCTGTCTGGAAATACAGCTTGGTTTGGGATTCAGCCCCCTGCCCCTGCTGCTGCTCTGCAAGCCCTGGCCTTGCTATGCAGGGCCAGCTGCGTGGCCAGCAGCCCTGGCTTGTGTGCAGGGAATGGAGTGAGGAGTGCAGGCACTTGGCAGGGGAGCAGCCCCATCTCCAGTCCAGCCAGTGCCACGTTCCTTGGGCTTCTCCTTGCAGAATTAATGACGACCCTGGGGTCCTTAACATTTGAAAAAGCAGGCTGTAGCTCTCCCCCCGCACAATTAGAGTTTGTGTTGACGTGTGGAGCATGCAGCGAAGGAATAACTGTGTTTATTGCAGCATCACACACGCTTGGCTCCTCATCCCCGAGCAGTGACAGCCAGTGGGCAGACCCGGTTTAATCCAGTCCTTTTTCTGCCACTGTCACCACAGGTGATGGAAGGGGATCTTGGTGAAGCTGTTGCTGAAGACAGGAGGTTGGAAATGCGGGTTTGTCCCTGGAGCTGCAGTGGGGCTGAGTGTGATCTCTGGAGCAGCAGCAGGCAGCAGCCTGGCTCTGCGAGGGGCAGTGAGTGATGAGGGCTGGGGCTGCCGCTGGCACAGCTGCTGACAGCCACGCAGTTTGATGTGGGACGTGGAAAATTGGGCTCCCCAGAGAAGCAGGAACCAGCACAAGGGTATTTTCCTTAGGAATTAAGGCCTAAGAAAAATGGCTTTGCATAAGAGCTGTTCTTTCTGAAGTGTGAGTTACATGTGTTTTCTTTGATTAGACTGAACAGGGTTTGAGACAAGCCCAATCCTTCACCCTGACAATCCCTGTGTTGCTCTGGAGCTGTGAAATGTAGAAGGACCAGAAAAACACGGTAGATGTGAATTTAGAGCAGGTTTCACCAGAACTTGTCCCTCCTTTGTGACAATGGACACAAGATTTAGAAGTGCTGGCCTGTTTTCACACTGCTATAAAACCACTGTT